TTCTCATCGTCAGCATCACGAGTTGATGATGAACAAAGGCAACGATTTGTCAATAGCCCATCATAACCGCACTGGCGAACTCTGGTTCTGCCGGTGAGTCCGTGCTGTATATGGTGCTAGAATGCCATTTATTTTTGTCAACCCAAATTGTTTTCCGGATTGTTTTTTGTTGTTGTTCGTCTTCTCAAAATTTGCAGTATTTAAAGGAACATCTGAATTTTCAAATGAGGGAATCCGTTGAGATGAATTTTTAAAAATAAATCGCTGATCGGTTTTGAGAAATAAATACGGATTAGAACTCAAATATATCCACTGTAATTCGGATGCGACTATTAGCATTTTGTAATTCTCCGAAGCGCGGGTATTTAAAAGATTGACTTCTTTCTTCGCTTGCTTTTCTATTTAATTCCGTGATTTCAATGATCACTGAGAAGCATCAATAAGCACGTCCTCCGACTTTTATAAAATACTGTACCTTACATCCCGTCAGTCACATGAGGGATGGATTTCTTGGTCTTCGGATAATTGAAATCAACTCTCGTGGATTTTCGACTTTTTGTTTTTTTTTGAATTTTTCTTTTTGATGTGAGGAAAACTGCACTGCATTCCGCTGCACAGAATAAATAAGAGAAATGAGCCATTTATTATTTTGACACCTGACCACAGACCCTCTTGATGGCAAAACGGCAATGGTATTACTTTATTACGTTTTACATGGAATGACTGACGGTAATTGCTTCAGGCGCCCTGAATTTGATATTAGATCACTTGCTGGTGTTGAAAGTTTATAGAAATTTCCAAGGAAGACTAGAAATTGTCATTTGCTTCAGCTCTGTGGCTCAAGGTGATGCAGAAAACCAACAGGAAGCATTCTCAAGTTAATTGCGGTACTATATAAAGGGGTACGAGGGTGAAGCAAATGGTACCAATTTACTCCCCATCAGGTGGCAGAAGAAGTCGCTGCTTGATAATTATCTCCAATAGAAAAATTGATCGAGGCCATGTGTGAAAATTAGCAGGAATGGAACCTTGTTTTTGCCATATAATGCGCCAGAAAAATCCTTCGGCAATTTTAAAGTGGAGAATTAGATCATCTCTGGAATTTTAAAAAGGGAGGTGATTCAAATGCGTCGTAGAAATATTGATCGAATTTGCATACCGTGGATCACGAATCTATTCTTCAGTTTAATGATGGCAATAATGCCAACTGTGTGGCTGAAATAAATTCTGATGATTTATTTCTTCTGCAAAGAAGAGGAATATCCGTTAATGTCAAAATGGGTTTATGGTTCGCCGCCATAAAACTTTGTCCATGAATTAATTTAGATAGAAACCTGTGGATTTCTAGATATAATATGTCGATTTAGGTTCTGACTTCGATTAAGAGAAGCGTGGTTTTTCTCGCAATCAATGAGATGAAAGACAGGATTTCTGCCCATTTTTTTCATGCGATTTTTTCTTTTATTGGGAAAAGCTAATTTATTGGGGGGGGGGGTGTGATATGGGGTAGGTTGTGGAATGATTTGTTTCAGCGAAAAAAAAATGCATGGAAGTTTATAGTATTTTGACTGAATTTTTTTGCACTTGCGTGCACCGGTCGGGCCATTTTAATTTGCTTCGCTAACCTGCACCACGCATGTTTTAATTGGCACAGTTGGATCGGGTTCTTTGAGGACCTGAACCCAGCACGGCTGGAAGAATCATGATGCGGGACAGCATGGATTTTCTCGGTTCTTTCGATGCGGACGAAAGGTGCATGTCTAATCATTTTCCCCAAATTAGTTTGTCTTTGGGTCATGTATGAAAAGCTTGCTCTTTTTTATTTGGCTTTGGCTGGTTTTCATTGATGCACTTCTCTTTTCGGTTGGTTAATATGCTTCGAATTCGTTTTTTTTTTTAAATTCCGAAGGTTTAAAGGAATTTTTCAAGTAGATTTTTCTTTATATCTTCGTTAGCAATATTCTACAAAAGTATTAATTTATTCTCCTATTATATAAACGCATTATCTGTAATCGGTTGGTGAGTTTCTTAAGTGTTCAGATATTTTTTTCAATTTTTTTCCCTTGCGTCCTCGGTTATGGTATTATTCTTGAAATTTTTTTAATCGTCCAAAATACGTACTGCAGTTTATCAACGCAATGGATTGACACACATTTACTTGCATTTTCATGCGAATAGATCAAAAATTTTTGACTTCGGTTGTTAAACCGATTCTTGAGCTTTCATCCATAATTCGGCTTGAATGATCTACAAGCTTGTACAAAACTGAATTACCTTCAAAAAGCTTGGCAAAATATAGTTGAGTGGCAGCTGTAGAGTATTTTAGAGTACATTTATATTTATTGGCGTAGTAAATATTCAAAGCACGAGCAGGAAATTATATTCAGAGTCTCCCTGTTCGAATTCACTTCATTTAAAATTCGCAGGTACTTGATGAATGCACGACCAAGAGGAACGTGGAATCAAAGGACGAGATTGGAGAAACTCCTTTTAATTTTTCTTGGATTATTGTGTGTCGCATTGGTAGGATTTATAATTGGTGTTGCTGTCACAGGTACTTGATGAATGCACGACCAAGAGGAACGTGGAATCAAAGGACGAGATTGGAGAAACTCCTTTTAATTTTTCTTGGATTATTGTGTGTCGCATTGGTAGGATTTATAATTGGTGTTGCTGTCTTGGACTCTAAAGGTGAGCAAATCCTTTGAATTTCTACGGTTCGGTTCCATTCTAAAAAGCTTTTAAGGACGAGGAACGGAAAATGAAGATGAAAAATTATTTACACGATTTTTTCAGTAAATCAACTGCAATCTGACATCGGGGCATTGAAAAGTGGAAGCAAAACAACAACAGCACCTCCTTCAACGTTTCCATGTGAGTCTTCTGACTTCGATCTTCTTCTTTATTGATGAATTATTCAACAAAAATATTTCCGAAAGGAAGTATTTCGGAAATTCGAAGCTGCATTTGAAAATTACCCGACATGCAGCACTGCGCTTGCTTCTTTGTCAATTTAAATTTATGCAACTGAGTTTGAAGAAAAAGCATGGCGATAATTAAAGACCGGGTTCATGTGTTACATCACATTTTTATTCAAGCGATACTTGCGCAATTTTTGCTCAATTCCACGGGGATCATGCATTTGTGCATTGCTAAAAGCTCTTTTTAAATTCAACGTTTTTGTCCTGCGCTCCTTCTGTTGTGATTTTTTGCATGCTCTTGTGATTATTTCCTTTTTTATATACGCTCTTTCCAGTCACTTGCACTTTTTTTCATCGCACGAATGTTTTCGACGATTGTTGTGCTTATTGTTTCACCTTGCACCACTAACAGCCTGTTTGCACACTTTGCCAAATTATGTGATGCATGTAGCCACACATTTGACAACAACGATTGAAGCCAGCTCTGAGGGACACGAACAGTCTACCAGCAATGAATTAACGACAAATGGGCAAACAAAAAACAGGGAAGAAGAAACGACGAGTTTTCAAACTTCAGCTCAGACATCCGAGACAATATCGACACAATCGTCGACGACGCTCGAAAGCAGCTCTACATCAGAAGAAGGGACAACTGGAACTTCGGTGACTACTACAGAAGAGATTACGACCAGCCCATCGGAATTCTATCAACTTCAAGTTTCAGAATGAAATCTGAAGAAAAATGAGCAAATTTTGCCAGGAATCCCAGGAAACATTTCGTAGATGGAGGCGCGATTTATTCTCGATTCATCGTCCGTCACTGATTGCATCAATCCGGAATTGCGTCATTTATTTTCGAAGAATATTTCCAGGTGTCGCCTCTATACTTGGCACTGAGATCTCCAGTATCAAATGGTTTCTTCAAATTGGGAGGAAATCCCTTCGGCTTTTATTCGCACTTTCACTAACACAATTTGCATCACTGATTTTGCATGAATCGCTCGTGAATCTTGAAGAGTTTTTTCATGGAACGAAATCTTTATGAAACTCACTGCCTATAATTGAGATTTTGAACAACATCCGGGTCGAAGAGAAGACAGCAGTATATTGCATCTCTCGAGTTCGAAAATTTTCGGAAATCTATCAAAATGGTTTTAAATAAAGGACTGAGCGAATGGAAAGCTCAATCATTCTGTTTATCTTTCAGTTGAGAACCTGACATTATGTTTGGACAAAGGATGCGTGAATGCAGGTAAATCAGTTTGTAATTCATCAAGAGATGCTTTTCCAAGCTTTTGTTTTCTTCATCACGCCAATTTTTTGTTGCACACATTATGCTGTTAAATCAGCAGATATGCATTCGATGCTTCTGAGCACGGGATCGGTGGGCATTATTCAAGGGGAAAAGAGAATTCGATTTCCCCCTGAAAATCACTGCGCATTTTGGAAGCGGTTTTTTGAAATCTGTCGCATTATTTATTTGTTAATTCATTTAATTTTTCATTTCTGCGTCACACTGTCAAGAGGCGGGCTGATGCTCATGTAAAGCATTCGATTGGCATGATCCGAAGAAAAAATATGTGAAAAATGTTTTGAAAATCATCTGAATTACAGGATCACCATTTGTTTGTTGATACTCGAGCATAGCAAACGAATCTCTGCTTTCTTGGCGAATCAGTGTCTCAAAGAAATGGTTTTTGGATGATTTTTTTTTCTTCTTGCACTTCGATGACAAATCTTTGTTTAGAGAAGCGTGTTTTGTGTGAGAGGTGAAAAAATAAAATGCACAATGCAAAATTATGCTTCAACTTCTATAAAGATGCACTGCTTCACTGCTTCTTTTCATTCCAAAATGGCTTTTCCGAACTGATGATCTCTGTTTCCTGCGCAAAATTCCGACAACAGCGAACCAAATTTCACAATCGCTTGATCTGACGAAAAAACCATGCAACAATTTTTACAAATTTGCATGTGGTCGTTGGGACCAAGTCAATCCTCCATCTGGCCTGAACGAAGAGTGGTCAACGTTTGGAAAAATGGAGCAAGTCCTCTCATGGAATCTCAAAGGTGATTTTTGAATTTAAATAGCGAAAAAACTGTATTTTTCATTTGCAAACGATTTCGGCGAGAGGTCTTCCACCAGGAAAGAACAGAAAACTTGACATTATTTTCAATATCTAGAGCTTTTGAATGATGGCAGTGGCGGCGATTCAAACACAATGACTGGACGAACGAAAATGTTCCACAATGCTTGCATGACACTCCGTAAGTTATTGAGATAAATATTTTTTTTTGTCCTGCGTTGAAAATATATTAAAAACCGAGAACTTCGATGGGAAAAAGAAGAAGATTTTTTTTATTTCAACTGAACCTATTAAAAAATGGTTGATAATAAGGCAGTGCAGTCGGATGATACTCACCCGAGAAAATTTGGATATTTTGAGCAAATAAGTTTAAAAAATTGTTCCAGACGGAATGAATGGGGCAATGTGAAGTAAGGTAACGAAATTTAGAGAGCATTCCAACAATAACACATGTTTTGCACACCATTTTGATGAAATTTTATGACAAGAATTGTTTTCCTGTTGATGCCACGATTTCCATTCTCATCTTCATGATTTGAAAAATTTAAAATACTGTACTTCATCTTTGGGGATATATTGGAAAATCAATACAATTTATCTTTCCTTTATATACTAGGCACCGAACAAGTCATGTTTTTGCGTCTTGATGATTTTCATTCCTTCTTTTACATAACCCTGATTTACGGACATTTCGAATTAAAAAGTTCTGAAATATTCACGTATTTGTAGGTTTATAGTACTCCCTTATTCGGAAAAATGATATTTTAAAATTGTGACTCAGTAATAAATGTGTCTTGAAAATACTTCACGCATTTTGCAACTGATTTTTTTTACAGCAATCAAAGGTGCGGAAGGAAGTCAAGGATTATTGGACTTGATGGACCAGTTTGGCGGGTTTCCAATGATTTCACCAAAGTCGTCAATATCGGGATGGAAATTCAATTGGCTCGACACTGTCATCAAAATGCGACAATTGACGTATTCGTCATACCCATTGAATGTCTATGTATATCTCGACGATCTCGACAGCACCAAATACGTCACTTTTGTTAGTACAGTACAATCTATAATCCATTCGTATCTTTGCTGATCGTGAGGCAATGTCCTCACGTCATGTTCTAATTTTTTAAAACTACATTTATCTTTTCATCCACGTAACCCTATCAGACAATTTATCATATATTCGCTCGTCTTATTGGAGCAGAGACGAATTGAAGGAAAAATCCGTAAAAAAAAAAAAAACAGATGATCATTTATGCAAAAACATTTTTCCAAAAATGCAAGGTGGACGAATCTACATTAGGAATGTCGGACTTTGTTTTGCTCGGAGACCCAACATCGCAAGACTTGACCGATTACGTAGACTACATGTACTACGCAGCGAAACATTTGCGGGACTCCCGCGCAATTATTGCCAAAACTCCGCCAGAGGACACTCCAACAGACGAAGATCTGTGGTTGGCAATTCAAGATGTTAAAACCTTTGAAATCGCTTTAGCCAACGTGAGTACATTAGTTCTTTCGAATAAAATATTGTATCAGTTTTGAGTCTATTATTGAATCGATACAAACCTTCAGAAAAAAATCGAAATACTGTAGTCACAAAAGTTCATGCTTTCGTCTTAGTTTGATCGCGGTCAAATATCTATTCGAATATATATAAAGACTCAAAAGCGCTCGTTATCGTTTTCATCATGTTTCTTCAAAGTACAGTAAAGCATTGTCAGCATAAATTTGACAAAGACTCCTTCTGAATACGAAATTCTATCAGAAGTCAGAATTTCAGCATATTACAGCTGTTATTTATTGTTTAAAAAAGTTGCTGAATTTATTCGAATGATGAGTTCAAATATTTGTTTTACGAGGGACTCGAAGCAATATTTTTTGCCTTTCCATCACCAAGTTTCCGCAAAACTAAAAAAAAATTTATCTGGAGGAACTGTTTCCTAAAAAATTAATGAAAACTCATTGTGAATTTCAAAGGCAATCCAAAGTTAGAATATCAATACTGTATTACAAAAGGAATAAAAGTGGACTCTCTCTCTCTCTCTAATGCTCGCTCCTGTATGCAACAACTTTCTCTCTATAACAACATTTTGTGGACCCCTTACGATTTTCATCCCAGGTTATCAGTGTAAGGGATAGGTGGCGCAAGCCGCCTCTCCCGTCCGTCGCCCGCAGAAAAACTCCACGTTGGAATTCCAGCGTGGAATTCCAATCATCTCGCCATTTTCCCCCTCTCACTAATTTACAGTCTCAATTCACCTCGCGAAGTGCAAACATCTCATTTTATCAGTGTTGATTATTTGTTCTGAAATATATCTCAAATTGCTTTTCTTTTGGAGACCTCACCAAAAGGCTCCCTGCCGAGTACCCGGCGGCGTACGTGTTTTATTCATATCAATTTTACCTTTCAGCCTAATTTATCATCCAATTTATTCGTCTTTGTGGTCGATGCACCACAAAAGTGGTAGCAGAGCGCAGAGTTAACGAGATACAAAGTAGAAAATTTTTTTTTTCTTCTCTTCTCCCTCAAAAAGATTATGAAATTAAAACACCAAAAAACAATCAGAAAACCAAAAAGTAGTATCAGAATATCTAGAAAAAATTTCGGCTTACAAATTCAGTAAAAGCAATATTTTTTTTTCTTCTCTTCTCCCTCAAAAAGATTACGAAATTAAAACACCAAAAAACAATCAGAAAACCAAAAAGTAGTATCAGAATATCTAGAAAAAATTTCGGCTTACAAATTCAGTAAAAGCAATTGTAAAACTCACGAAAATCAAAAAATAGTAAAAGTAGAACCTTCCCCAGCAAAATCTAAAAATAAAATCTTTACGAAAAAGTGCGCAGCACAGAAGTGAATTCATCAAAGCAAACGCAACGAATCGTCAAGACACGAAGGCATCATGGTGAGGGGAAGGCCACCAACCCACAACAGGGGGGAAAACGAACCCCCCAACGTGAGTCGAAACGAAACGCCCGATGAAATATCAAATAATCCAGAACCCATCGAAAATCCGCCAGATCCTATAGAAACGAATTCAAACGCAGAAATCCCTACTAACTCAGAAAACCA